TGAGTTCGTTGTAGTTTCTGGATATTAGTCCTTTGTCATGTGTTTTGATTGTGAAGATTTCTCCTACACTTCTGGGTTGTCTGTTTACTCTGCTGAGTCTGTTCCTTTTTCCATGCAAAAGCTCTTTAGATTAACTAAGTCCCAACTAGTTATCTTTGTTTTTATTGCATTTGCTTTCACACAACAAAATTGTCCAATGATGCATTTATCTGAATATATCCCTGTCACTAAGCAGTGCATGACTGAATATATAAAATGGCTTTGATACTGTTTTTCTCTAATTCATATGAAAATGAAATTCTAGTACAATTAAAACTAAGAATTTCTTCACACACAATGTGGTGATAGAGTTCACTCCCAGAGAATTAACTACCAGAAATATACCCAGTGAATTCCTTAGCATGACACCACCTACTTGCTAATAATGTATTTAGGTGTCCTACATAGTATTTTGGAATCAGGTGCAACATTTACTATTTTGTAATTAGTTTACTAAATTTTATGAAGCTGAATCTTATTTTTGTATAAATTTATGGAGTAGAAGTGGAATTTTATTACATGCATAGATTTCCTAGTGGTGAAGTCAGGGCTTTTAGTGTATCCATCACCTAAATAATGTACATTGTACTCTTTAAGTAAATTCTCATCATCCAGCCCCCTCCCACACTTTCACCCTTCCGAGTCTCCATAGTCTATCTTTCCACACTCTGTGTATTTGCATACACATTATTTAGCTTCTACTTATGAGTGAGAACATACAATATTTGTCTTTCTGTATCTGGTTTGTTTCACTGAAGATAATAGCCTCCAGTTCCATCCATGCTGCTGTGAAAGACATAATTTCATTCTTTTTTATGGCTGAATAGTATCCCATTGTGTATATATACCACATTTTCGTTATTCAAGCGTCCAATGATAGACACATGTTGATTTCATATCTTTGTTATTGTGAAAAGTGCTGTGATAACACAGAAGTGCAGATATCTATGTAATATAATAATTTATTTTACTTTGAGTAGATACCCAGTAGTGAGATTGCTGGATCAAATGGTAGTTCTATTTTTAGTTCTTTGAGAAATCTCCATACTGTGTTCCACAGCAGTTGGACTAATTTACATTCTCACCAACACTGTATGAGTTCCCTTATCTCTGCATCCTCACCAACATCTGTTATTTACTTTTTTATAATAGCCATTCTGACTGGGATGATATTTCACTGTGGTTTTAATTTGCCTCAGAGGATTAGTGATGTTAAGTATTATTTTTTCATATAACTATTAGTCATTTGTATGTCTTCTTTTGAAAACTGTCTATTCATATACTTTGTTCAATTTTTAATGGTGTTATTTGAGGTTATTTTGTTGAGTTCTTTGAATTACTTGTATATTCTGGATATTAGATCCTTGCCAGGTACATAGTTTGCAAATATTTTCTCCCATTCTGCAGGTTGTCTGTTCACTCTGGTATTTCCTTTGCTGTACAGAAGTTTTTTAGTTTAATTAAGTCCCATTTGTCTATTTTTGTTTTTGTTACTTGTGCTTTTGAGGTCTTAGCCATGAATTATTTGCCTAGACCAATGTCCAGAAGAGTTCTTTCCCTAGGTTTTCTCCCAGTAATTTTATAGTTTCAAGTCTTATATTTAAGTCTTTAATCCATCTTGAGATGATTTTCATATATGATGAAGGATGGTGGTTCAATTTTATTCTTCTATATGTGGCAATCCAATTTTCCCAGCACCATCATTTATTAAAGAAACTGTACTTTCCCCAGTGTATGTTCTTGTCAACTTTGTCAAAGATCAGTTTGCTGTAGATAGGTGGATTTATTTTTGGAGTCGCTATTCTTCCATTGTTCTATGTGTCTATTTTTATATCAGTACCATGCTGTTTTGATTATTACAACTTTGTAGTATAATTTGTCATCAGCTAATGTGATGCCTCTGGTTTTGTTCTTTTTGCTTAGGAATGCTTTGGCTAATCAGGTTCTTTTATGGTTCCATATGAATTTTAGAATAGTTATTTCTAGTTCTGTGAAAAATGACATTAGTATTTTAATAGAGATAGCTCTCAATCTTTAGATTGCTTTGGGCAGTATGGTCCTTTTCACAATATTAATTCTTGTAATCCACGAGCACGGGATGTTTTTACATTTGTGCCCTGTTCAATTTCTTTCATCAGCATTATGTAGTTTTCCTTGTATGCAATGTTCACCTTGTTGGTTAAATATATTCCCAGATATTTTTTGTAGCTATTGTGAGTAAGATTGCCTCCTTGATTTTGTTCTCAGATAGACTGTTACTGGTCTATGGAAATGCTACTGATTTTTATACATTGATTTGTATCCTGAAACTTTACTGAATTCATTTATCAAATTTAAGAGTTTTTTGGTGCAGTCTTTAGGTTTTATAGATATAAGATCATATCCTCAGGGAACAGAGATTTATTTTTCTCATATATTCCACTTCAGAGCTTCTTACAGGCTAAAAACAGTGTCAGCATATAAAGAAAGGGTATTTATTGAATCACTGTTCACAGTGGTGAACAATCTGAATAGTCAATAACAAGTAAATGGTTACATAAATTATGATATATTTATTCTGCAGAATATAATACAGACATAGAAAAAGAACAAATTAGATGTATGTTCACTCTCTAGATGGCTCTCTATTTTATATGAATAAATGAAGAATGCAAGCTTGAGAAAAACATACACTAAATATCATTTTTTATAAACAATCCTATATCAGAATTTAAGCTTAAATGAGTCAAATTAACAGTACAAAGTGCACACTGGATTATCTTGAGGAGGTCAAACAGAAGTTTATGTAATTCTTCATACTTTTTTTTATCATTTTATATTATAAATAACCATGTGTCTTTTGTACTTAAAAAATTGCCATGAAACATAATTATCTTTCGAAGAACAAGAAATAGCATAGTTATTACTTTAGGGTATGCCGTTTTACCTTTTTACTTGCTTTAAAATTTTTTAATGAATACAATTTTTATGCTAATCATATGCACACACCTATTTAGTATTTAATGTGTAATTTTTAAACACACTGATTTTTTAAATGCCACCATTTATAGGTGTACAACAAAAGGTGATAGACCTTTTGAACAAATGTAGATTTATACTCAAACTCATAACCCAGTTTAGAAAGACAGCCAACATACTGCCCATGAGTTCACTTCATCAAAGCTTCTCTTGTTGACGCCTAATCAATCTTGTTGAAACTAATTAAAACAACACTAGCTTTAATTGGTCTAAGGGGACCATAACTGGTGTTCTAGCAACCTAGCATTTTAAGACAGAAACTCGAGGCCAACTTGGATCAGTTTTTAACAATGCCAGAAGCCAGTTCAAGTTACGGCGTTTGTTGTAGATGGGTTGTTGCCCTGGGAATGTGATAAACATGAAAAAACAAACAAACAAACAAACAAAAGGCAACGTTTGAGATGAGGTAACTCTATTAGCCACACTCAGAAGTGCAGAAAACTATAAATGGGTCTGTGCACTTATAGCCACTTGGAGAAATAAGTATTCAGAAGGAGGACACGTTTGATAGATTTGGAATGCTATAGAAAAAAGCATACCTTCATTTGATTTGAACATCACATATTGAGAGCACAATATGTTCATTCATCTATTTATCCTACAAACATTTTTTTTTTCAAATTTCATTTTCATTGCCAAGCTCTGTACTGTCTCTAAGGACCAAGCAATAAAGAAGATGAACCCTGTCAGCAGCCCTAATGCTGACATTTTAAGAAACAAAGTGCTTCCTCTCCCTCAAGCTGTTTTACTGCCATCCACCTGAAAAGTGTTGTGAGACATACACAAATTTAAGGTAACTACAAATGTGAATGGTTACCCTGGAGTTTTGCAGTGCCTGAAGATCACAAAATCCTAGGGACTGTGATATAATTTTGCTGTGTCTCTACCCAAATCTCATCTCAAATTGTAGTTCCCCTTATCCCAATGTGTTGTGTGAGGGACCTGGTGGGAGGTAATTGAATCACGGGGCCGGTTACCTACATGCTGTTCCCACGATAATGAGTGAGTGCTCACAAGATCTGATGGTTTTATAAGCGGCTTTTCCCCCAACCTCGCTCTGCACTTCTCCTTGCTGTCACCATGTGTAGAAGGACACGTTTGCTTCCCCTTCCACCATGATTATAAGTTTCCTGAGGCCTCCCCCACCCTGTGGAACTGTGAGTCAATTAAAGCTCTTTCCTTTACAGATTACTCAGTCTTGGGTATGTCCTTATAGCAGCATGAGAATGAACTAATACAGACTGGGAATACAGAGATTGTAAACATATCAGATCATTTCAATAACACTATATCATCTAAGGCAGAGGTATGTATCAGGGACTAGGGTGCCCAAAGAAGGGCCTGGCTAGAAAGTTTGACAAATGTTTTCTCAAAGAGATGACGGCCAAACTGTGTCTGGGCCACATTTTTCAGGTGTGATAATGCTTTAATCTGAATGTGAAGAAAAGGTGGATCTTGGATAGATCCTCACCAAGGCAGTGAAAGATCCTTGTAGAGGGCCTTTAGGTAGATAAATGAGAGAGGGAGTTACCATCACATCACCAAGATGTTATTTTCTCCAGTATAAAGAAAAAGACTCAATTACTTCTTCCTCTCTGTTCTCTTTCATAGCTATTCTCAGCTCTCTGGAGGCTACCTCATGAAGACTCCCCTGATTTAAATTATTAAGACCATCTTCTTTGGGAATGACAGAGCGAAGAGGAAGAGGAAAGCAGTGTACAAAGAATGAGAATTCTATGTGCCTCCAAAAAGAAAAAACTGCAACTACACATCAGCATTATGCAAATGACCTCTATTCTTAAAAGTTGGCTGAGAATGAGGAAATCCATTGCATTCACAGAGATATTCTGTGGGAGCAAAAAGGGAGAGAACAACAGTACTACTTTAAAAAGAAATGTACTATGTAATTTTCCCTAGCATTATCCAAATCAAACATTTTTGAAGCACCAAGCCTCTATCCACAGATCAGAAACTGAAAAAATATATATTACATTTTTCTTATACAGGCATACCTTGGATATATTGGAAGGTCAGTTTCAGATTATGGTAGTAATGCAAAATACCCTATTAAGCAAGTCACACCATAATTTTTGGTTTACCAGTGCATATAAAGTTATGTTTATACTGTAGTCTTTTCAGTGTGCAATAGAATTATGTCTCCAAAAATGCACATACCTTAATTAAAAATTTTTTGTTGCTAAAAAATTCTAACAATCATCTGAACCTTCAAAGAGTCATGATCTTTTTGCTGGTGGATGGCCTTGCCTCACTGTTGATGGCTGCTGCCTAATCAGGTTGGTGTTTTTGAGGTTTGGGGTGGCTCTGGCAATTTATTAAAAGTAAGACAATCAAGTCTGCATCTTCAATTAACTCTTCCTTTTACAAAAAAAAAAAAAAAACTCTGTAGCATTTGTTATAGTATTTACTTACCATAAAACTTCTTTCAAAATTGGAGTCCTTTCAAAAATTGTCCTTGCTTTATTAACTAAACTTATGTAATACTCTAAATCCTTTGTTGACATTTTGACAATGTTCACAGTATCTTCAGCAGGAGTGCAGTCCAGCTCGTGAAACTTTTTTCTATTTTCATCCATGAGAAACAACTGTTCATCAGTTCAAGTTTTACCATGAGATTGCAGCAATTCAATTGCATCTTCAGAACCCAATTTTAATTCTAGTTCTCTTGCTATTTCTACCACATCTGCAGTTGCTTCCTTAACTCAAGTTTCTAGGAACTAATGCAGCTGGTGACTTTACATTGAACCCTTCAAAGTAAGGGGTTGGAATCCATTTCTTCCACACTCCTGTTAAGGTTGCTATTTTGACCTCCTGCCATGAATTATGAATATTTTTTATGTCATCTAGAATGGTGAATCATTTCCAGGAGGTTTTTAATTGCCATTAAAGGAATTGCTGTCTATATATAAGGGAACTATAGTCTTACAAAGTATATTTTTCAAATAATAAGACTTGAAAATCAAAATTACTCCTTGATCCATGGGCTGCAGAATGGATATTGTGTTAGCAGCCATGAAAACAACATTAATCTCCTTGTACACCTCCATCAGAGCTCTTGGGTGAACAGGTGCATTGTCAATGCACAGTAATATTTTGAAAGGAATCTCTTTTTCTGAGCAGTTCTTAACAGTAGACTTAAAATGTTCAATAACTGTACTATAAACAGATGAGTTGTCATCTAGGCTTTGTAGTTCCACTTATAAAGCACAGGCAGAGTCCATATAGCATTATTCTTAAGGGTTATAGGATTTTTGGTCCATGAGCATTGGCTTCAACTTAGTGTCTAATGCAGTTGATGACTTTAACAAGAGTCAGCCTGTCCTTTGAAGCTTCTAAGTCAGGTATCGACTTCCCCTCTCTAGCTATGAAAGCCTTAGATGATCATCTTACAATATAAGGCTGTTTCTTCTCCAGTGAAAGTCTACTATTTAGCATAGCCACCTTCATCAATCATTTTAGCTAGATCTTCTACATAACTTGCTGCAGCTTCTATATTAGAACTTCCTGCATCACCTTGAACTTTTATTTTATGGAGATGACTTCTTTCCTTAAGTCTCATGAACACATCTCTGCTAGATTCCCACTTTTCTTCTTCAGCTTCCCCCCCTGTCTCAGCCTTCATAGAATTAAAGAGAGTTAGGGCTTTCTCTGGATTTAACTTTGGCTTAAGGAAACATTGTGGCTGGCTTGATCTTCTATCCAGACCACTAAAAATTTTTCTACTTTAGCAATAAAGCTGCTGTTTTCTTATCACTTGGGTGTTCAGTGTGGTAGAAATTTAATTTTTTTTCAAGAATTTTCCTTTGCATTTACACATTGGTTAACTGGCACAATACGTCTAGGTTTTCTACATGCCTTCCTTGCTAAACAATCATTTCTAGCTTTTGATTTAAAGTGAGAGACATATGACTCTTCCTTTCACTTAAATGCTTAGAGGCCATTGTAGGATTATTATGTTACCTACTTTCAATATTATTCTGTTCCATGTAATAGCCAGGCTTGAGGAGAGAGAGAGAGAGAGAGAGAGAGGGAGAGAGAGAGAGAAAGAGAGATAGAGAGAGGGGGAGAGAGAGAGAGAGAGAGAGAGGGAGGGAGAGAGAAAGAGAGAGAGAGAGAGACAGTCAGGGAATAGCCAGTTGGTAGAGTAGTCAGAACACATGCCTTTGTCCTTTAAACACTGTCATCTTATAAGAGCAAAGCTGGTGGCATCCCCCCAAAATTACAATCATTACATCAAAGATCATTGATCACAGATCACCATAGCAAACATAATAATGATGGAAACATTGTAAATATTGTGAGAATTACCAAAATGTGACCCAGAGACGTGAAGTGAGCACATGCTGTTGGAAAAATGGCTCCAATAGACTTGTTCAACATAGGGCTGCTACCATTCTTGATCCATAAAAATACAGTATCTATGAAGTCCAATGAAGCCACGCATAATGAAATGATAAATGATATATACTTTGTAACTCAGGAGCATTTAAAATAATATGGTCCTCATTTTAATTACATCATTTATTTCTGCTACTCAGCAGCACACATATAAACAAGGGGAAGAAAGGGGAGCAACTGCCTTGAGTGGGCTCAACCATACATAAATTGGTCAATGGCAAACACATTTAAGCAGAATGTTGGGATAGGGGGTATTTCCTTGGATTTTAGGCACTTAGGGCAAGAGTCTAACCAGGAACCAAGATAAAAATATTAAGAGTTGGGAAAGGAGCTAAGGTTTTGTTTCTACATCACTTTTCAAGTTACTCAAAGTGTTTGATTCAAAATACAGGATGATTCGGTGACATGCATGAAAGGATACTTCAGATGCTAAAAATGAAATACTCGAAAATAATTTAGTTTATTCACAGAGTGAAGAACTAACAAAAATATGTCTTTTTTCACCATAAAACCCCTTACATTCCTCCTCCCTCTTCTAGTCCCTGGATGATTCTATTTAAACATTTTTAAATTTTAAACATTTTATAAACAGTTTTAAATATTGGTGCAGGACTGAGTTGCTAGGAAAATGGGAGTCCTAATATGCTTTGTAGCTAGTAAACGTTTGGCCACCTTTTCCTCTTGTGAGCTAGGTAAACATTTCCATGTATTTTTCCAGCTCTTATCTATTCCATGGATGATCGTCAGCAACTGTATATATCAAGTCATAGATGAACAAAGATACTCAACATACTAAGGAAGTCATTTATCCAAGATTTTCTGTAGTTATTTTGATAAGCAGATTTTGGCCATAACACTACGAATTGTAAAATCTTGTACCATTCCAGGGAGAGGCCAAAAAACTCTCATGAAAGCACCAGTATCTGAGTGCTGACCACTGCAGGCTTCTGCGCTTACAGAGGAGCTGCCTCACAGATGAGAGAAATACAACCAAGACTTCAACTATGATTGAGCAGAAAGCCTCCCATAAACATGAAGACAATTCGTAACCAGAGTTTAAGTTTTCTAAAGTTTGAAACTTTAGAAACCATGCAACTTTGAACCATGCAAAAGTGATCCAATATGGAAGCATTGTAAAAATAGTGCTTCCTTCCCAGTCTGGGTATAGTTTGTAAAACCCTAGAGGCTAGAATTTTCCCAAGCCTGTTTCATCCTCTTTATTCTGGAGAAGAAAACACATCAAGACATCAAAACATTTGACCTTGGAATGGATCTCATCCTTTGTTACAGACTGGCTGACTCTGAATATATCAGGAATGTACTTCCCAGACCCCAGGACTCAAATATAACCAGAGTGACAGATAGGGCAGGTCTGAGAGAAGTAGCAAACATACTTCATCCTAGAGTCAGAAAGAAACACGCTGGTATAATTCTAACTTAGAAAATAACGAGGTAAGGGGTCGTGTAAACTTCATACAACGCTGCTGCCTCTGAGTTATTAAAAAAATTACTAACAGGCTTCTGATCAACTAAAGGAATGAAATTAGGTGTTCAAAGGAGATTTTTTAATGTCCTCATCTAGAATTACTTTCCCATTGTGATAGCACTGAATATAACCTGAAGCTGGACATATTTTTAAAAAACTTTTAGATAGGCAGGTCTAAACCTTGAAAACATCAGTGATATAGAGAACCCACCATTGAGTGTGAGGTTTGAGAAATTGATCCTAAAGATTTAATTAATTGTCCCCCATCAGTCTACCAATAGATTAATGCTTTTGTTCTTGGCTCCACTACCTTTATAAAAAATACATGGATGGAAAATGTGAAGAAATAAAAGAGAATGATGAATGCACTCACATTTAAAGATGGAAAAAAGAGGAACCTTTTCAAATACCACATGGGAGAAGAACTTTGTGTCTTTAGCATTCAGAATATGCTCATAATTCCTGCCCATTTGCTCGACTATGTTTACTATTTTAGTTTTCACTGAACCTTAACACAAATCAATTTGGAACAAAGATACAAACAAGTTTTTTGATAATTTTTGCAATCTTGATAATTTCCTTTAAAAAATTTAACATAACAACATGGCCTTGTGCTACACCTCAAGCTGTTTTTTTTTAAATAGGCTTTTTAGAGCAGTTTTAAGTCCACAGCACAATTGAGCAGAAAGTACAGTTTCCATATACCTCCGACCTATCCCCTTCCCAAAGCCTCCCCACTATCCCACTATCAATGTCCCCCACCAGAATGGTACATTCGTTAGAGCTGATGAGCCTATACTGACATCATTATCACCCAAAGTTCATTGTTTACATTAGGGTTCACTCTCAGTGATGTACATTGTATGGATTTAAACAAATTTATAATGACATGTATCTACAATAGTAACATACGCACTAGTTTCACTGCCCTAAAAATCTTCTGTGCTCCGCCTATTCATTCCTCCCTCCCTTTAAACCCTAGATCTTTTTAATGTCTCCATAGTTTGCCTTTTCTAGAAGTCATACAGTTGGAATTATACAATATGCAGCTGTTTTGAATTGGCTTCTTTCACTTAGTAATATACATTTAAGATTACTCTATGCCTTTCCATGCCTTGACAGCTCATTTCTTTTTAATACTGAATAATATTCAATTGCCTGGATGTACCACAGTTTATTTATCAATTCACCTACTAAGAGACATCTTGGTTGCCTCTAAGTTTTGGCAAATATGAACAAATCTGCTATACACAATCATGTGCAAAGTTTTAGTAAGAATTTTCAACTTCTGGGGATATATATCAAGAAGTACAACGGCTGAATTGTGTGTTAAGAGTATAGCTAGTTTTGTTTTGTTTTAAGAAACTGCCAATCTTCCGAAGTACCACTTTACATTCCTACCAGCAATGAATGAGCTTTCCTGTTAGGTACTTCCATGGCATCATTTTGCATTCCTAGCAGCACTGAATGAGAGTTCCTGTTATTCCACATTCTTGTCAGCATTGGGTAATGTGAGTTCCAGATTTGGGCCATCCTAATAGGTATGTAGTGGTATCTCACTGTTGTTTTAATTTGCAATTCCCTAATGATATAGGATGTTGTGCATATTTTAATAAACTTATATACCATCTGTGTATTTTCTTTGGTGAGTTTTCTGTTTAGGTTTTTGTGCAGTTTAAAATAAGGTTGTTCATGTTTTTATTGTTGAGTTTTAAGAGTTCTCTGTATATTTTGGATAACAATTCTTTATCAAATGTGCCATTTGCAAATATTTTCTCCCAGTCTGTGGCTTGTCTTCACACTCACTTGACACATTGAGTTACTCACTTGACATACTGAGTTTTCTCATAGAAAATGGTGCTTATTTGGGAGAATAAGATATTTCTTTGTTAGCCTGTCTCTTTCAGCTATCCAATTTATAATTCTAGAAGTTAGAAAATTTTCTGGCTCCTCTCACATTCAGAAAGGCAGATATTTTATCTAACCTATAATTATCCCGTTCACAAATTAAATAGATATTTTTGTTCCTCAAACTCACTCTTTGATTCCTCGAACATTTCATTTTCTCTTTTCCTACCAATTTCAAAATCAATAGATATTAACATCCAACTGATCTTTGCCAGTGAGTACTAGGAGAGAACTAAGTTGAAAAATAAATTTCTCTCTGCTCTTTCAGAATGGGTGCATATGTGCTACACTGCCAAGCTATATTTGACTTTCTGGCAATATATTTTCTTAGGGCTTAATTCTGGGCCAGCCAGAGAGAAATGTTACTTTAGCATTAAAGCTATACATTCTGGAGAGAAAAGCATAAGTTTCTGATAAAGAAAATAACTGGGAGTAATTTCCATTTTATAATGCTTTATTAGAGCATTAGAGAAGATTTGACAAAGAACAATGGTACAGACCACAGGAAGGAAAAACACAATTAAAAAAGATTTATGCACAAGGATTCCCTACCCTAGGCAAGGTAGGCTAAACATAACCTCATGCTAAGTTTGCCCAGAATGTTAAAAAAAAAAAAAAAAATTGATACTTACCTTTACAGAACACTTACAAAGTTTCAGGGCAAATTGCCATTTTTGAGTTAGGCAAACAAAGCACAAAGTTTCTCATACTCTACAATGAGCAACTGAGAGGGGCCCAGAAAACATTTCTGTCAGGTTTAAGATGGTTTAAATGTTTGAAGATGAAAAAAAATTCTGATCCTCCCTGCTAATTGTATTGTACTTTGCAACAGACATGGGCCTTTGTTATGTCTGCAGTTGAAAACTGAATATTTCCAAAAGGAGACCTTTGCCTGAAAATGGCAGAGAACTACAAAAACCTCATACTCAAGACCTCTTCAGAATCAGATCAACTTCTTCCATTTGCTAACCTCTTGCAGATTTATATCCTGTAAAATTTTGGTTGATGAAGACACACAGAATCTTGCCCAAGACCACACATCCAAATAGTATTGAGAGACCTGGAGATAGAAGTGGGGAAGAGGAAGTTATCTAGAAGCAATTCATGCCTCCTGTCAGAAAGCTCCAGAAGGATAGATTGCTTCTTATTCAAAATGAGCTAGAAACAAAAATATTATGAGGTTTATAACAAAGCTTCCTCACATTACAAAAGAAGGCAGTTATGAAGAAAATCATGTGACTTACTATTTTCTACAGAAAACAAACAAAAAAAATCAGAGACAATGTCTAGTATGTATTATCACCAAATTTTAATAAGGAACACAATACCAAGGACCCGCTGGTGAAGTCCGGCCCACAGGAGTGTGCTATTTTGCTTCACCAATGCAGAAAAATTGCCCACATTTTCTTTTTATAAAAATCTAGATTTCTTTTGATAAACTGTAATATCTGGCAGTATTTGGTTCCTGTTTCCAAACGGAGACTAGTGGGCTAGACCTGAAGAGGCGGCGTTCCCTAAAATGGACCCATGGTACCCACAAGCACATCCTAGATCCTTACCAAAGGCCCAGTTTTCTCGTCTGTGTCACACACTTGACTCTCATTGAAATTTAGATTCATAATCCCTGATATATAAGTAATATGAATGCAGTGAAGTCACAGACATCTTGAGGAGTGATTTACATGGGTTAGATAAAAATGCAACAGCTGGGACTTCTGGAATGGTGGAATGAAGGCTTTCATAAACCCTGCCTCAATAATAAGTAATAATAATATAACAGTATGATTTAGGGAATGAGCTGTCCACAGATGGTTTTGAGAAGCTTTGACATATTCCTAAGGATCTTGAAGACCACAGAAATGTGCAGAGACATGCACATGACCAGAAAAGAACTGAGAGATTGCTCATTGCTCAGCTCTCTCTTTTGGCTGACCCTGAGGACCTGTGCAAGCAGGAAGTAAAGGCTAAGGCCAACATGCAGGCTGCCTTAATGTTGAAGATATGCCCCAGCAAACACACAAAACCCTACACCACAAAGACTAAAATATTTCATCCATTCATCTATTGATAGACACTTAGGTTGACTGTGCTAAAATAATCATGGGACTGCATATATCTCTATGATATACTGATTTCCTTTCTTTTGGATATATACCCAGCAGTGGGATTACTGAATCGTCTCGTAGCTGTATTTTCACTTTTTTTGAGGAACCTCCATACTGTTTTCCTTAAGGGCTGTACTCATCTACATTTCCACCAACAGTGTATGAGTGTTCTCATTTTCTGGCATCCTTGCTAACTTTTGCTGCTACTTTGCCTTTTTGACAACAGCCATTCTAACTTGGGTGAGATGGTATCTCCATGGGATTTTGATTTGCATTTCCTTGATGATTAACGATGTCTGACATTTTTTAAATATAGCTGTTGGCCATTTGTATGCCTTATTTTGAGAAATGTATATTCAGGTCTTTTGCCCATTTTTAATTAGATTGCTGCTATTATTTGCTATTGTTTGAGTTCCTTATATATTCTGGGTATTAGTCCTTTGTAAGATGGACAGTTTACAAATATTCTCCCACATTCTGTACATTCTCTCTTCACTTTGATTTTTTTCTTTCCTGCAAAGAAGAGCAAAAAAGGATGGTTTCTTTTGCTGTGCAGAAGAGTAAGCAAACAATTTCATTCTTTCACAATATTGGTTATGTTCTTGTTTTGAGTTTGATGTAATCCTATGTGCCTACTTTTGATTTTGTTGCCTGTGCTTTTGAGGTGTTACCCAAAACAACTTTTTGTCCAGACAAATGTCCTGTAGTACTTCCCCAATGCTTTTTTTCTAGTATTTTAACAGTTTAGGGCTTAAATTTAAGCCTTTCATCTATTTTGAATTGATTTTTTAATATGGTGAAAGATGGGGATCTACTTTCATTCATGGGCATATGGATATCCAGGTTCCCAGCACCATTTATTAAAGAGACTGCCTTTTCTTTCATACATGATCTTGAAACTTTGTCATAAATGAGTTAGGTATAAGCATGTAGCTATATTTCTGGATTCTCTATTCTGATCCATTGGTCTATATGTCTGTTTTTATGCCAGCACCACGATGTTTTGATTACTATACCTTTGTAGTATAATTTGAAATCAATTAATGTGATTCCTCCAGATTT